ATTCCTATTAATACGGAGTGTTAAAAATAAGTTTACAATTAAAATTGAGAAAACTTCTGATAATTTCATCTGATTTAATATGATTGAAGTAACAATTTTATCTGATTTAATGTAAAGAAACAGACAATTTTATATTTGTATATAACTATTTTGCTGCGTATTTTCAGTGTATTGTTGGCCATGTCGAAAAATTCTGTTATTAAATTATCTCAAGAACCATGTGCTCTCAAGCAGATTATAAAAACGTCTAGAATAACCAACGAAATTAAATGTGAGCGGTATTCTTGTGGAGCTCAATATGCCTGTTGAGTACTGTTTTCTAAAGATGCTCCAAATTTAATAATAAATACATCCTTATAAAAAAATTCACAAGTTAAGACTTGGGTTGAAACTGAATCTGCCATTTAGGCCGCTTTTCATCAACAGATCAAGTTATAAACCAGCAAAGTTTTATAAAAAATATAGCAAAAGCCTCGTATGCATTTCGTATGTCTGTCTTTTTTCGCATTTCTTTGGGTAAAAGACTTGGGCTTAAGCACATTTTACCAGCATATCCAACATCAAACGTGCACATTTTAATGAAAATCGAGCGAAAACTGCTCTTGCCAAAATCGCGCTACGTATTCCGTAACTCTTCATGATGCGAGCAAAGAAGAAAAAGCATTCATAAAGTATGGGTTGGCTTGAATGTGATTCTGTCATTTAGCCAGGCCTTTACACAATATATCAACATTAAATAATTCAAGATTTGCTAGCATTTAATTTAATACAAAAATGACTGATTGACTGATTTGTTTACGGCGATGATCCAAACAAGATGCAACGGAAACTTGTTTTGGAAAATATTGCCGTGCGAAGAGACACTTTCTACAAAAATGTCAACTATAAACACACTGAAATTGAACTGCGTTGTAAACGAATTACTCATCCAAAGGGCGATCGAGCAAATTTATTATATCATGTGGTTCTGTAGTTCGGTGCCTCTAGACTAAGGCAAAATTTCGAAGTCACATCGAGTTTTTCGCAAAAAGCTGTCTAAATATGCCGTTTATTACAGGCAAAGGGCGCCAGTTCTTTGTGTCGTGTGAATCGCGGTGTTAGATGGGAAATATGGAACCATAGTGGCCCTTATATGTAAGTTTGTCATTATTTTGCCCGTGGTGCCATATAGATGGAGAGCTTTTAGTCCCATATTGTTGACTTGTATTCTTGTATGTTGTATTGGGTTTTGGTATTTTTTTAAATTTTATTTTTGTAAAATTAATTATTAAGTCCGACATTATACATTAAACTAGATGCTGTCTGGAATGAAATATTGATTTTCGGTATATGAACTTCTACAGTCTACACGCAAAATCAATGTCGTTCTCCTGTGAATCACAACTTTGATTGTCGTGCGCGGTATTTTATACTAATTATTGTTGTTTCCCTGTTACCAATTACATAGCAAATTCAGCGGTTCTTGTATTTTTAATAGCGATTGCTAAAATTTTAATTTATATTTCGCGTTGTTTTTCCAAATTTCGCACTCTTAACAAATTATTTTATCCAAACGATTCGTGCTAGGGATTTTCAGCGCCCTTCGGGCTGTAAGTGGTCACTAAATGGATTTGAGTTTTTTGTGTACTGTGAGTCGCGTTATTAAGGCAAGTACGGTAGTTTAGCCTGCCTGCTAACTGCAGGATTAAAGTATCCGGAGTAACATTTATTTATGTGTTCAAGTGCTGGATGAGAATTCTCGCGGATTAATCAGTAGGCCTTAAATAGAGGATGGGGCGCCAGCTTGCTGAACGTTCTTAAGAATGATTTCTAATCCATAAATCCTTTGGCATGCATAAAGCTTGAACTAGTTTTGTTGATTGTTTACATTTCTCTTTCTTTATTTAATTGCTTTGGACATATTTTCTGTTATACTAACCACATTTTCTTCATTTTTTGAAAGTGGCACGGTCAGCTTTCGGTAAGTTTGTGATACTTTAGTCCTAGTTTTCAAGTAGTTAGTCAAGCGCTTTAAATCATTATTACGCATTGGAAATATAACTCTTTATGGCGCAAGTGCGGTACCAAATAACGGAGTCTAGACTACATTATCGAATCCTCCATTATGGAGAGAAACGAAGCGTGTGTTCGTTCATTGTTATTCCCTTCAATTATGCACCGAAACGCACATTACCATGAGACCAATCTACCGAATCAGCAATTTAACTTGGGGACATTTAGGTCTATTAACCTCAATGCAGTCGCGGTTAATTTACTGGTGCGTGTAGTGAGGATACGGAGTGATCAAACCACAAATCCGCTATTCTGCGTGAAAAACTATACAAGAGAAAAATTTCGAAAGTTGCTTTCATGGTTTTTCAACCTTTACACCGAAATTAGGCCAATTACGAATGATGCTTCCACATTATTTTAAGTGAACCGTGGACAATAAATGTTCCTCACTGCCATCCAACTAATAACAGATTAAATGCAAGATAAACTACAGATTTAATAAATAATGGAACATAAAGTTACAGTTAAAAACGCTGAATTTTGTAAGGTCTTGAAAAACTCGTACGCGATCGCAACAAAACCTACAAGATGAAAAATTTAAAAAAATACCTGCTTGCATAACCAGTTGTATAGTTTGAAAATGATTAATTACACAAAATTACTATCCGGCACTGAATCGCTAAAGGTCGAGCTTCAGAATGTTTACATTTCGATCCATCGATTAAAAAACACTTCTGGTATTTTTAAACTCAGTAAAACTGTAAGCAAATTAGCTCCGTTCGGATGAAGGTTTCTAAACTGAAATTTTTCTTGAACAAACTTAAATTCACAGTGTTTTCTGATTCGAACTATAAATCTTATCTTACTGGCATTGGGATTTTTACTCACTCATTTTCTTTCACTCATGCTTGAATAATAGTTCAGTCCATATGAAATAAATACGTTAGGAAAGACATAAAATCAGTAATTTACTCAGAATAACCCAAAAACAAGTTAACTTATACTCATAGTGAATCATCTGAATATTACTCGAACTGAACAATAATAATTTTCTAGCAGATTTTTTTTAAATCAGAAAGCAGGATGGAATCTGTTCACCGTCTCAACTGGGCAGTGTTTCGAATAACAAGTGCAATTATTTTCTGAAATATAATGATGTTGCAGGGCCGCTGGTTCGGCCTTAAGGCCTTAGGCTCTCGAAACCCGATACCAAAGAGGATAACATTTCTAACGGGTATTGTACCCATAATAAGCACCTTGAAAGGTCATTTCAACGTCAGGAATTTACATACAAAGTACCAATGAAAAGGGGTGTTGTTGAAAAAAATTGCTTCAGTTCTAGATAATTGGAATCGTGCTGCATTGTTGCGTTCCAGGAATTAAAACCATTGCAGTGCGAACATCATTTTAAATCAGATGCAAGTCAAATAATGGATAGAAAATAATGCATGCAAGAAAGATGCAAGAAAATATGATTGTGATTATGAAAAAAATCGCTTTTTCCTGTTTTAAAGTTGTTTAAAGTATTGCCCACCATAATAAATTTACTGGAAATAAAATTAATTTCGTCCTTGAAGCCTGACTAATTTCGTCATTGTAACAGATCATAAAATAATAATTTTCAACACAAAACCCATTGATAGTCGCTTGAACAATGTAATTAGGGTTAATTGCTGTTGACAAACTGACCCTTCTTTGACTTCTGATACAATAATTTTGTTGGCATCGTGTAAATATGTAATTTTATGAAAAGTATCTTGTAAGATATCATGCAATCGAACTTGGGTTCAAATAATCAATCAGTATATCACTTGCCAATATCATTAACTGTATTAAGTAAATATGATAGAAATAAACGAATTCGTGTTCATTAAAATCATGAGTTTTAAATTACTAATCACTTATTTTGAGCTTTACATCGCTTTTTAAAAGCTTGATTACAAGCAGATAGGATTAGATTTAAGATTGTTAAATTCGTTCAAAGCTTGATAAGGATTCTAACATTGGAGCAAATAATACGTTTTATTCACACTCCAAACAAATCGTGCTAAAGCAGAATCTCTGATCATGAGATTTTAATCGCATTAATGGCGACTTTAAGCAACTGACTTCTTGCTTCCACAGCAGTTGCTTAATACACAGACTTAGATAAATAAGTCACGCTTTGGAAAAGATTGCTTAAAAGGAATATTTCAACTGCAAGTCTTGCAATAGTAATTACAAAACACTCTGGAGAATCACCAGTATATTTTAGAAAAAGAAATATTTGAAATAGGGATTCAAATTATATTAAACTTATAAGTAAAGAGTAATTTCAATTTACTAATTAATCGTTGGAATTGTCTTATTGTTCTCCAAAATGGACACTTCTGAACGATCTTCAGCAGTTCTTCAAGGAATAAAAAGGTTCCAGATCAGCATTGCGCTTCTGACTGTTCCGTTGTACACCTAAGTTGAAAATTCGACTTAGTATATTTTTCCAAGTCCAACACACACATTTCTTCGTCAGTAGCTATGCGTGCATAATCCGACTGTTATCGCTAGGAACATTATGTTTGTTGTGTTATTAGTGTCCTATTTTTATAAACTTGACTGGTTCCAGTCGCTTCCCCATGAGATAAACGGGTTAAAAGCCTGAAAGTGAACTAAACTGAAGTTGTAAAGTACTTCAATGTAATTAAAGGAATCACTGAATGCAACGACAATTCATTTAGAGTTGCGAATTGCACGGTTCCGGCTAAGAAAATGGCTGTTGAAGACGACCCTGCTGGGTTCCTACATAAAGCGCCTTCAGGTTCTGATACTGACCATTTTATCAAGAGAAAAGGTACCTGAAGAATGGCCCTGATTAGCTACCAATAATATCGCAAGCAGAATAGACAAAATTTTCAATACATTTTACTAATTAAGCTTTAATATATTTTATATTAAATTACCAACTATATTTGCTTAGCCAGAAGTCCAGTTCTTGTGCTAAATTAAGACCTAAATCATGACATTACACCTACCTAAATTAGCACATACTGCGGACAACACAAACACAAATAAAACAACAAAATCACTCAGTCATCGCATAACAAGCAAAACGTCCAAAACAAAATGAAAATAAGGAAAAACTAACAAAACACACGAACAACACAGCGCCTAAAAGACAACTGTCTGACTGAGGAAAACGTAAACAAATCAAAACCCAAAACATGTCCTATGAAGCTAGTACCGACGTTCCCTCCACTAAATTTTCTCGCCCGTAAGTCGCATCTCTGCTTGCCACTAGCCAATCAGCTTGCAGATAATTTTTTAGGTATCCTTTGAATGAATTTTTGTGCACATCTGGGGCATCCTAAGGTCATGGTAAATCGACAGCAAACGTTTCCTTTCAACATGCATGCATGTTTTTAATTATTCAGCGATCTACTGTGTTGTGATTGGTCAATTGTTTGCACGAAGACCTTTGTGGCCGATAGATGTCTTGTCAGCACGAAAAAAACCGTCAAGTTCCTTCAGCTTAACCTCACTTCTACTGACTATTTGTTATGAGTTTATTCAACGTACAAAACTCTTAATTATTGCTTTATTCAAAATGGGTCGTCGTTATTACTGCGAATATTGTGACAAGACTTTCATTGATGAACTGGAAGCACGAAGAAAACATCTACAGAGCGCCCATCACATTAAACTTCGTAATATGCACTATGAGCATTGTAGAGGTACTTAACTGAACACTTCGAAGTGTTTTTGGAGCTCTAGAGGTATTGGGTACTTGCAGATCCTGCCACTATACTGAAAGAGGAACTATTGAAAACCCCTTGCAGGAAATATTTCCAGAATGGCACGTGTATGTTCGAAGGCAGCTGTAAATATACTCATTACTCTCCTGAACAGTTATGTGTACTTAGACAGCAAGGTAAACAGCAAATTACGCAATTAATTTAATTTAACAGTCAAGTTTAAAATAAGTTATGATTGGGACGAATAGTGAGTAAGTTTAATTCCAAAAAGCCAGTGCACAGAAGTGTGTTCACTTTTCTTACTCGTCAATCATGGTATTCGCTGGTAAATACTTATTCTTAAAAAGTAATCATAACACCCGAAAGATGAAGCACCAATCTTCTGATATATGTGTTATTGTTCCTGTTGAATAATGAATTTAACTGTTCAGTTGAACAGATGGAAATAAAGCGCCAGAAATTGGACTTGGAAAAAAAGCACATTCCATCTGTAGAATCCTGGCTGGAAAAGTATGAAAGGGTTGCTAATAAGGATGACAGCAGCACTGTGCACACGCCCTGGACTTACCCTGAACAGTTAGTGGGCAGAGCGGACTTACCACCATCTCTAATCAAATTCCGTCCGGAACACTTTCATGATGATGATTTCGAAGAATGGGGAAAATAATAAAGCAGACTATTAAAAGTGCAATTACAGTTTTCTTAGATTTAATTCCAAACGTGACCTTTGATCGGATATTTTCGTAATAGGCTTCTTGAAAGTGTTTGAATTATTCCTAACGAAACCTTCCTCCATCTATGGAGAAGGAACCCAGAAAAATGCATATTTTGCTGCACAAAAAAAAATATGTAGGTACGCCAACTTTCAAAATAATTGGTGAACAAGATAAGCACCGAAAAATTAAACAAAAACAAGTTAAAGAATCTAAATTTATGGCTCTGCAAACTCAGTTTATTTTCGAAATTTGCGACATTAAGTTTTTATGAAGACTCACCCCTTGGGCTTTTTGCATATTAAGTATACCAAGACTTTGGTATGTTTTGGTACTCGCGCTAGCTCAATTTGTTCCTGATTTATGAGTGAAAAGTGGCGTCAGGTTTTAAGCTTGTACCTAAACGAGTAATAGTCAAAATTTGTTTTTTTGCGTGAGATCTGCTACTTTTTCTGAACAGACATGTTCGTTTTAATGAATTTTCTATTCAGGGATATAAAATGGGACGGCGTAGCTCTAATGGTTTAGCTGTTATTAATAAAACAAAACCAGTGTCTTAGTTATGGTACTATATTCCGAGATATTGATTTCTATATTCTTACAAGCTTCTGTCGAGATAATCAGGTTGCTATTTCTATCAGATTAAACACATTGCGTTTTAATGTAACTGATAATTAAACCCAACGCTAGCAAAACGTTTTACTCAACCAAATAAAAATCTACGTAAATGGAGAGGCCTTTAATCTAAAAACTTTTTCTAAGGGAACCTAAATCGGAATTTCTAAGGTCTGTTGATTCTAATACTTATTATAAAAAGCCTTAAAATTAAATTCGCCAACAATTTTACAACTCTTTAAGCGTAGAGGGTGCAGTTTTCAACAAAGTGCAATCTTTTTACTTTTACTTACTCTTAATGTAACAGAAGGAGGACGTAATTGTATGGGGTATAATTTTTTTAATAAATAATGTCTGCTTTGATTAAACTTAGGAAGTAAATACATAGTACCATATCTTGGTAAGTAGATACTGGTTTTGACTTCGGGGGGTTTTACTTTTGGTAGGTAATTCATAGACCCATTTATTTCAGGAATTCAGTAAGAAAATCTTAGAAAACGCGTTTTGATTGTGTGACTTTAAGTACTATTGTAACGAGTCGAAATTGACACAATATTTATTATCACTCTTTAAAACGTCCTATGAGATACAAAAGGGGCAGTGAAGCCGAATATTTTGTTGTTAAATACAATCTCCAGGGCTTTAGTTGCGTTTTTACATTGTTACTGTCTGGCTAAAGCGACGAGATTTTTTTCAAAAAAATCCCAGTTTATTTCTATTTTGCCATTAAATTGGGTCCCATCAAATCAAAACGATTCACTGTGGAAGTTATAGAATATAAAATCAGCGATATAAAGGATCACAAGGTACATACATTTGTGGTCGGAACACCGGGTAACAGCATTTACAGGATATCTTGTAATATCAAACAATACATATAAAGAACGGCTTTATATTTTTTTCCTGGAAAGGAGCTCGAGGCTTAATTTGCCGAAGTTTCTCCTTCTCCGTGGCCGTCTTTGCGGTTCAAATGGCCCCGGAACGAAGCTTGGATTTTGGCAGCAGCTTTATTCAAATCCGGATCCGTCAGATCTATGTCGAGCTCCTGAAAATATACGCCTTTACAGCTGCTGCCGGAAATAATTATATTTTCTAAAAGATATAACCCACCTCTTCTTTGTTATCTTTCTCGTCGGGCTTCTTCTCGCCCTCCAGATTTTTCCTCGACATGTGACCCCGGAAAGACGCTTGTATCTTGGTGGCCGCATTGCAAAGTTCTGAAACCAAGTGAAATGCCTCATTATTAAACATTGCGCTGAAAAATCTTCGGGATCAAGTTTTGTCTTTCTGAATAGAAGATTATGATCAGAAAGAACGGTTTAACCAGCAAATGTTTATAGAATACTTTTGCAATTTTTGCAATTCAAACTTTTTACCCAATCAACTGGGTGTAGTTTTTAGAGTGGAGAGAGAGTGGTCGCGACCCACATTTGAACCAATTCGTAAATTATGTTGGCTTTTTGTTGTGTCCGCAAGCTAATTGGCTTTATTTTTGTATTGTTTCCACAATAGAGAATTTTTTAAACCTTTTTTTGGGTTTGCTTATGTTATTTTGAGATATTTTGATTTGTTTTCCTGACTGCGTGTAATGGTTATTCTATTCTTTTCCCTCTTGGGTTTCAGTCAAAGTGTAGAAGATAATTTTTTATATCGTTTATTTCATAATGTTTCGGTGATTTAAGATTTAAAATTCATACAACCTACAAACACTAATTTACAATTAAAATATGTTGTAAAAAACTATAATTTATAAAGCGTTAAAACATCATTAGTTCTTGAGGAAAAAAGCTTTTTTTGTTTGGAGAGCAAAACATTTGAAAAACTTACCTTATAAGTGGGAAACATTAGATATAAACGATATAAAAAAATTTATTTCACACTTTGACTGAAACCCAGGAAGGAAAAGAATATAATATTTATTTTGAGAATGACTTTACCTTCGTTTTGTTACCATCTGTCTGACCTTCCCTGTTTAGGGCCTTTAATTATTTATGTAATTGATTATTCAATCGCTTTAGCCTCGAAAAGTTTCTGTCTTGCCGATCATTTATTAATTCGTCGGTTATTAGAATAAGCTTTAGTTTTTTTTACGAAAAAAAATCGATTTTTTCTTGGCCAAGGCAGCAACTTGCTTGCTTTTCCAATAGTTGACTAGCCGAATATTAATCCTTCCAACAATTTTGGGAGCGGTTGTTAGTAGTTCGGATGGTTTTCTGTTTCGCAGTTTTTGAATCATTTTTCTTGCAGTTGGATACAATTTGTATTTTGTATCCAATTTATTCGAAAACCGCTAAGCCCATTAAACGTGAAGGTTTTCTTGCAAAAAAATCGTGTAATCCGTCTTGATTTGGCTTTATCGCACCAATGTGCCTTCAAAGTTGGAAGATTCTCATTTTTTCCGTTCTCGCGCTCCGCGGAGCCTCAAAAGATAACAAATTGTATTCTTTTGTCTGAAAATATGCCGCTTTTCTCCCGGGAAATGTGATTAATGAAGTTTTTGCCGAGTCCATTTCATGCTTCAAAGTTCCGGCTGTCGTCGACTAGGCATTGTGCCATTATGTTACCGTTTCACACAAAATTTGCAATTAATTTCACTTGACGAAATTAATGTATCATAGTTTTTACCCTCATCATCGTTTTATTTGAATTCATTTACATTTCCAGCTCAGTTCAACCAGAATATGCCTATCGATTCTTCTATCTCAGCCAAACAGCAAACGTGCGACTTGAAAATCTACCAAAATCTATTTATACCAGTTCTAAACTTTGTAATTAAAACTGTGTAGCATTGAAGCAGATTAAAGCCACATTAAACAATTGCTACTCAAACATAGACGAAGTGGAGACGGTGTTAGATTAGATTTAATTAAATCCTTTCAGATTTGCACTTGAAGGCGTTTCTCTAATTATTTGAAAAGCCATTGAATTTGCGAGGCAGAATTGAGGAAACCGATGTGTTCGGACATGGATACTTATTGACGATGGTGATTAATTGTAGGGCGTTAAAGCTTTCCTTGAGCTTGAAAAGCGGGTGTGTGGCAAATGGGCACAAGACCCGGCCATAAATCAATCCATTTCCTTAAAACTTTGCTCAATCGCCCTTTATTAAAAAAGTAGCCTCTTCGTACCCATAATTTAGATATATAGTCGCGCTATATATTAACTAAGCGTTCAATGCCTTTCCTGCTCCTTTATCCGCTAGTAATCCATAGAAATTCTCGGCAGTCCATTCAAATACCCCAAAAAGGTCAGATAGCTGGATTGTCGCGATAACTCTGAACGTTGCGAAATTTCGTCAATAGCTTTTTGGTCTCGAAAATGCTTAAGAAGCAGATTAATGGTCGTTCGTAAGACTGGCTGAGGAAAATGATTGGCACCCTATTTTGGGATATAAAAATTGAGGGCCGTAATGACTTTTTCCCCAAATGTTTCCAATAGTTTGTCTCAGAGATCAAATTCTAATTCCAAAGTAACCGAGCAGACAAATTCAAGAAATCGAAAAACGGCAACATTACCGATTTAAATTAAACCGACCGAGATCCTAAAAAGCAATTTAGCATTCTTTTCTCCAACGAAATGGAGCACAACTCCTTAAAGGACGAAAAAGAATGTTGTTCTGCCAACCACCAAGCCGATGCTCCGGTCTATCTGAAATGAAATCATTGAGGAAAGTTTTTCTCGAACGTGGCAAAGTTGATAAGTTGGAAAATATAATTTTCCTATGAATGTCCATTTAACTCATTTTTTTGAAACCGTATTGGGTGGTTATTTTTATTAAGCCGAAATTAGTTGACTTTTACATTCTGGCCATTTAACGGATTCTTCATCTTTCGAAAGCTACTGGAAAATTTTGTTTTGAACTGGCAGAAAATCCTCAGATGATATGCTGAAATGATGATTTCTAATTTTTCTTCACTTCAAGGAAATCAATCCTCTTGCTAAAGTTTCCTCGAGTATAGTTTCTGTACCTTCGGGATCCTGGCTTTAATATTAAAAATACTGCATGATCAATCAGGCAGAGGTGTGAACAAAAACTGTGTTCACATCTATCCATTGATCTCATTACAAAAATCCGATAAAGCATGTCACTGATCTGATTCTGCTATCTCTCCCTCCCGCATAGACTCGATATCTATTTATAAACGATGCCGGAAATCAATGTATCCAGGCACAAGGTAATTTAAAAATTGCCTCCTGCAACGGGAAATTCGTGGAGCGATTCGAAAATGAGACAGTTGAAATTTGCCAGAACTAATCCAGTTTAGATGCGACGCTTTCAATTCGTACCTGCATCGTCCAGTCTGAACTCGTTCTCCAGCTCCTCCCTGGTGGGCTCCCTTTCAGGTTCTTGTTGCGATTGCGATTGTGGTTGTTTCATGCTTTTTCTGGTTTTATGGCCTCTAAAAACGATCGATGTTTTAATGGAAAATAAATTGTGCGAATGAACGAGCTTACCGAAAAGCTGCTTGTATCTTAGTGGCTGCTTCTTCTTCGCTGTTTGGCTGTTTCTCGCTATTCGAATCCGCTGTTCCGTTTGATCGGACTGTTATCGTCTTGGCTGAACTGG